ATGGATCTTCGTCGTCTGAAGATAATTCATGAAATCATTGTACAGCATTATAAACAATAAGATTTGTCAGAAATATATCAAACTGTCCGCTTGAAATTTAGTTCATACACAGGACTTTCATATTTGGTCACATGGACTGAGTTTTTTTAAAATAGAATCGCAAAATAAGCAAAACGAAGCCAAGTTGATTTGGATTTTAACAATAGCGAATTATCATACAACAAAAATGCTTCCAACCTCATCCCAAGCYTCTTTTCCTTCTTTTTTGACACCGTTTTGATGAATAAAGTAMAAAGTRAGTTTATATTATTTTGTATTTTTAGATATTTCTTTTTTCGCTCTATGTTTCTGTCTGAATTTTTTCGCTTTCATTTTTGTTATGATGGATCGAGTTATGTGCGATTTTTKGCYATCTGCGATATATCTGAACAGCGGCTTATCGCGCGCGCAATTATGACGTCACAATCGACTATTACTTCATTAGCTGTAAAGAGATTTTCCTGTCGACGGCCGGTAAGTTTGCTCTTGATCGAAAAATAGTTGTTTTTGCCAAAATCGTTAAATCTAAATCTTTCACAGGCTATAAAACTATTTCAAGCTAAAAAGACTTCAAGTTTGCTCTCAGATTGTTCACACAACCAATTAGAAATGTCCAATCGAAGAAGGCAAAATTTACGTTGTAAGTATTCTACAAATCAAAGACCAAATATGCCGTAATTGCAAGAATAGTGTGAAAACGTGTTCTTTTTTCCAGATCGACCAGATCCCGTCATGCAAATGGAGATCGTCAATCTGCAAGTAAGTTGTGTCCACTGGCCAAGTTTTTTTATAGCAAAATTTAGTTAATAATTTAGTGAATAAACACTTAAATGTATTTCTTGGTACTTGAATAAACTTAATGTATTTTTTAAAAGATATTATAAGTCAACTTTTTTTATGTTACTTAATATAACTTTTTATCAACCAATTTAGTCAGTAAAGAAACCTTTCCCCCTAGCTTCGAAGTAGTTACTGTGTTTAGTTTTTAGAAGACCTTATCAATTGTTTTTTTTTTTTTTGTTCCTATCCAGAATTTAGTTCAAAATCTGGACGAAGACCTTCAGGTAACGACCATAGTCATAATAGTTTGCGGCATTTGTCGAAGAAGCCGATCACCTCGGCGATTACTGAGCCCGAGAATAATAATTGTTTTAAAGGAACTGTAAATGATATTACTGTATTTTATCTAAAGAATCCCAACCAACCACAATACAGCGCGCTGGTTTTATTGTTTACATACGTTTAAATGCGTCACTAGCATACAATAGATTATAGATTGATAGTATAGTAGTGAGGTACTTATAGGTAAAGTTATTTCTGTCTAAACTGAAAGGATGGAAGACGATTCGCGCTCACGTAAGAATCCGCCATTTTCGTATCCACCTAAAATGGCGCTTCGGCTCGCAAGGTGCTGCGATTGGTTGTGATTCTTTAAGTATAAGCTGCATAAATCCCTAAAAGGCAGAATTACGCTGTATTACGCGAATTTCTTTGTTTTCTATTGTGTTTGTATCCGGGTGTTTGTAACCTATTCTTGCGTTTACTTATATTCTTGTTTGTTAATTAAGGACATTTTATTCTTTTAGTTGATGAGGAAGCAATATAGCAACATGAGTCAGTTGTAAGTATCGAGCAAATATTGAGTTAATTCATTGTACATTTAGTGGTTTTCATTTATCTTTGAAAGGTTTTATAGACCTCGAGCTCATGATAATTTGATTGTTGTTGTCTTCTTTCGACAGTAGACGCCCTTAATCCGTGAAATAAAGTAAAGTCTGCAAAGCCGTGAAACGAAATTTGACTGTTATCATTTTATAGTTGATAGACACGAAAGAAAATAATGCAATTAGAGCGTACTAAGGTATATTACTGCAACATCTTTTTCACGGGTTTTCCGGGACCTCCAAAAACCAAAAACCCGTGAAATATATATTACACTAATACGCCTTAGCTAGTACGCTCTAATTGCACTAGTAGTATAAGGAACCTGTAGGTGCTAAATAATGCTAGGTTATTTTCTATTTTCAACAATGCATAGGAGTAATTAGTAACATTTGTTTCACGGATTTAGTGCGTGTATTAACAAATATTAACTAGCTAGTCGTTTTAACAAAAATACGGTCATAGAGCAAAGAAATGACAATACATAAACACGTACGGAATTCTCACTCTGAAAGGGAATTATTATTGGTTCCAGTATAAATCGCCAAAATTTCCCAATGAATGCATCAAATCAATGATGAAGGCCGTGAGTGTATCGTTTTAGAATTGCCAAGAATAGATTGATGCGATTGGTCACTGTATAGCTCATCCCAGTTCTCTTCGCCATCTTATAACAATTAATTTTGCCCTGATTAGATCAATGAAATCTTAATATTCGCTTTCGTTTCAGTTTCTCCAAACGTGAGCAGGAACTGTTGGTAAGTCAAGCCTAGTGTTATGAAATATCGCTATTTGACCAATAAAGAAACAAAAGTGCTCCAGTTAACAGGACTGTCTCATTTACGATCGAGATGCTCTTCATTCAAAAGATCAAGCCATCCCTTAACGTCCAATCAGACTCCGTTAAGACCAAAATCTTCACCTAAGACTATCCACATGGGACTTTGCTCAATGTTATAATTTAATGTTTTTGAATATATTAATGTATTTCCTCTTGAGAATGACGCCAGATAGCGTCGAAACGTCGAGTCCAAATGATCACAAATACAAACTTACTAGCGTTAGTTTTAGAACCAAATCGAGGAAATGAGAAAAGTTCATCAGGCAGAAAAAGCACAACTCCTGGTATGTAAAGAGTAATTCCTAAAGTAATAAAAACATAACTAACAATAGATATATGTCAGGTCAGACATGTAGTCTGCTACTGGTAACATTGTAACCCAGTACAACCTGCCTCATGGACGGGTCGTCGGCGTCTAAACYGGCTCCCCCACCAGTCTAACTGGTGAGGAGGGTGGCATGTACACCCAGCAGGATTAAAAACAAGACCTGTCAAAGGGCGAATGAGCTCATCTGAGCCACCGGCCATCATGCGTGCTTCTTTATTCCTTGCATGAATTTTTTGTAGTGTCATTTATATTTTAATTTTTATTGTTGTAATTTTTAAGTTTGATATTTTGGGACGGACTAAGAGCAGCAGCCATGAGGCGCTATCTTAAGCTCGCAGTCTACCATGACTCTGTCATTGTAATTGTTTGTAATTTGAAAGCGCTTAGAGCAGATTTGTATAAGCGATGTATAAAAATAAAATTATTATTATTATTATTAGATATAATCGTATGAGGAAGTGGCTGATCCCATTAAACTAGCCTCGGAGTTACAGCAAAATCTTGCCTCTTTGATATCATATATGTAACAATAGATATAAATAATTAATTGCTAATGCAATGTGTCAGATGAAATTTTCCCATTTTGTTAAGGCTCAGCTTAAAGGAAAAAATGATGACATTCAGGTAACGCTTATTACACTATTTTTCATTATTTTTTATTTATTTCTTGTTTGTTTGTTAATACTATGAATTGTTCTCTATGTATTGTTCATTACTCCATGTCCAATGCATTGTTACATCATCAATTGCTTTCAATAATCCAATGTTCATTGTTTGCTACCCATTGTTATGTCATCCATTGTTACTTTTTTGTCTATTGTTACATCATCCATTGTTCACTATATATTTTTATTAGTTATTACCTATTGTTACGTCATCCATTGTTCACTATATATTGTTCTTTGTTTTTGTGCGAATTGTTATGTCATCCATTGTTCATTACCCATTGTTCGTTAGTTATTGCCCATTGTTGCGTCATCCATTGTTCACTATATATTTTTATTAGTTATTACCTATTGTTACGTCATCCATTGTTCACTATATATTGTTCTTTGTTTTTGTGCG